TTTTATTTTCTGAAGGAGAATTGTTTCGCTCTTTTTTATATTGGCACTATTTAACCTTTACTGCCCCAGTGTCTTTCTTGGAGCATGTGGCTAGAATTTTGTTCTTTGCGGTAGTTTTGGCCTGCTAATTGCGGATATTTCATCCACTTGTCGACAACAAGCGACATCGCCTTGCGCACTGGTGCCAAAACAGCTCGAATTATCAAAAGCTATGTTAAAGTTTTCTTGAAGATACGCTCTAATCACTTGTTGTCGTGAACAGCGCTTGATACGCGATTTTGAGTGCTATCTGATGAAGCGGGTAAGGGAGCGCTCAGACTTCGCGAAGGCAGCGCTTCCATGGCGCGTTTAACGCGATTGTTTCGACTGCATCGATCGCGTCGAACGCGCGACAGAAGCGCTTCGTCGCGAACTCTGAACGCTGCCTAAGCCAGCATTTCGACTGCGCGATGTTGCGCGTCGACATGCTGTAACGGGCTGCTACGTGCGTCTACACGTTACCACTGCAAGAACACTCTCATATAGACGCAAACGCAGCCACAGACGAGAATCAGTCCGCTGTCCGTTTGCGTTTCGAGAGAGTCTAGGATGGCAGGAAGGTAAACGCTGCCTATACACAATCTGGTACCATCTTATTCCCCTATGCTCGCCCAGAGCAATAGCGGCCAGTGCCGCTCAATACCGGAATGCGTGATCAGGCAACGCGTGCTCGCTTATTCTCCCAAATTTCCTCAAAACACTAGCGGCCAACGCCGATGGATACTCGTCTGCGGCCGCGTCCGTGTATATTGAACTGGAGCGCTGTTGCATCGCGAAGTTGTAATGCGTCATCGCGAAGTTTGATCACTGTCTCACGCGGAACTCCTTCTTTCTTGTAACATTGATCACAAGATTTCACGTGAATCGAGAGAAACATCACAGTGCATTTCAAATTACTTTGAATAATGCGCAGAATCGTGTATTATAAAGTTTTGGCTTGGTTGGGCTCTCAGATTCATGCTCAGTGCGTTTCTTTACAAACAACAGAAATAATGGTATTCTTTAGGCTACGACATCTTCTCATGGATCACCCGATATTGCACCGGTATGCTTGCTGGATTGCTTATATGGACCTCTTATGACGAAATTTTCAACATTGTTTCAGAGCACATCCTTCATCTAATGGAGCTCCAGTTGTACTTGCCGGTGGACTGGCGGGAATGTCGGTGACAGCGCTACAGCAGCAACCTATGCAGATCTACATCGATCCAGCAAGCAAACAGCATTACATGGCCATTGAAAGTGGGTATTGTGGATATCGACAGTACCGGTCTTTAGTTCATTCTTGATTTGGTAACAGAACTGACTGTTATGAGTTCATCGGAATTTCCAGCTGATCAAGGAATGCAGCTATACCCTATTCAAATACAGACCGATGGTCCTGTAGCGTACTCCTTTGCTCCTGAGGTTTCCACAGCTGTAGCTTCTACTGCTGGCTCTGGTAATCAGGTGCCTGAAGTAATGTTTTATGACACAATTCATAATAATTTTTGAGTTACGTGAGTTCGACTTGTATTCTAATTTATTTCCTCTTTAGACGTTCATAATGATGGCTACGGCAGATGTGGATGATCCGCACACTAGTACAATAACTGGCCAGCCTTCAGCACGAGGGCAGACGACAACAACGAACCCTTCGTGTGCTCGTCAAGCACCGAGGACTCACAGCCATAGTGACTTCAGCGTCCGCAACCAACCTCACCAGCCTCGACCCACAGTGACAACAGGCTTCGTTAGCCACGCTACACACAGTGAAGTGGTGAATGAATTTTTTTTCGTTCGTTCTTTACATGACTCCCCTGCGTTCATATTTTGCTACACGAGCCGATCAGTTGTGCTAGTTGGAAATCGCGATTATGACCGGTCGCTCTCTACCGCCAGTCGTTGGACTGCTGCAGAATCACAGGCCGGACAAAACTTATTTCGAACTCGACGGCGGTCCAGTGACTAGCGGAGGTTACGATCAGTCAAGGTCGCACAGCTAAATCGCTCGAGTCGTGAAGTGTGAACGCAGTCTTCGAATGGTTTTGGTATTTAAAATCGTGGCAGTGCTCCATTAAAGGCAGAGCCCGCTTTCGAAAATGAGGCTTCCCATAGTAATAAGATGGCAAGAGGGTCAGTAGAGAAGAAAAACCAGGAGGAAATCAAAGAACTCCTGTTATCACAAGAATGCTGAGTTATGGGCAAAAGTCGTGCCCCAGGCGGGAGTCGAACCCGCACCTCACGCTTTCCGGGCGAGTGCGCTATCCGTTACGCCACCAGGGCCGCTTTTACCCTCTCAGCTTAACGGCTTTTATGCCGTAGCCTTACAGCACTCACACGTTTAACTTGGTGAGCCGGTCAGCCGTAATCGTTAGATATCGGCATGAACCGCAAGGCCGAAGGCTTTACAAGTTTTTGAAGCTGTTTTGTTATGATAACTGCTGTTTTACGCCGCAGTTCGCGTTCCGAATGTTATCACTCATCAAAGAACTCCTGCCGAACTGAGGTTGTGCGTAGATCGGGCGAAGAAATATGTTTTGGACGAGTCCTCACTTGTTGATGCCAGCTCTATCTCCTTTCACCTCGATCTCACCATTCGAAGAGGAGAGGGAAGTGGAACAACCGCATCTCAGGTAGCAGTTAAAAGTGAACGCTGGGCATCGCGGCAGTCGGTGGGCGCAGCGGCAGTCCTTTCACGAGTGGGTGGCGCTTACTTCTAGTATTCTTGAGCTACGAAATAGGTGCATCCTTCACCCTTGTAAGGTGGGCTACCATATCCAAAGAAAGCGTGGGACCACTGCCTTGAACGGATCACTAAAGTGATGGAGTTAGTCACAATATCGCTTAATGAGGGCTCATTAACCCATTTCTATTCATGTAACTCCAACATTTTTTGCAATACCCTGTTATAGAATGCTCAAGCTCGACAGATTTCTCAGAAGCGTCACACACCACCTGGCAGCAAAGGAAGTGGAGGAAAGGTCATAGCACCGCCGAAACGAGTCCGTCATAGTTGACTTCTTATCTCCATAATAATGTATACATCGCACTCATCGTGAGGTGTCCTACACAGTTTTTATTAGGTTTCTAGTTTCTATGTTTATACCTCTATTTGCCCAACAACATAGCTGTTATACGATAGTACTAAGAAGATAATATTTCCATTTTTCACATCTTTATCAGCCTTGTTTGTTCACTTATGATCCATTAGGTGAACCTTATTCTCCAAATGAATGATATCTTGAAAGCTCAGATCTCAATTTGACTGTCTTTTTATCGATCCAGCGACATCATTTCCGAAAATTCCCGTCGATATTTGTTGTATAGGAATTTTCTTGAAACTCCTTAAAATTCCACATCACTCTGTGTTCTGCTGTGCCACCCCATTGTGTTCTGCCGTTATTTTTCTTCATAGTCATCTCAATTTTCTTGTCACTATCCGCGGATGGCACTTTTCATTATCTTGACCGGCGATACTTTTCCATCCATTTTCATAGTGAGAGATTTCTCACCATTTACCATTTTCTCCATACTCGTGGACTGCACAACGTGGGAAAATTATGGATTTTTCTATGTTAGAGACTACTTTATTGTAGAAGAAATATTCTCGACCACTCGATAAAAGCTTTTTCATGAAGAATCCTATGTAATATCTGGGAACTATTTTCCATACGTTTTTACTTCTGATTGCGCCACTTTTACTGAAAGTGTTGGTGTAATATGAATTTGTAATAATGCCTAGTTTCCTCACTTCGAGAAAAGTACTGAACCCTCAAAAACTTCTGCGTTCGCATACGCACTCGCCAGAGTGAAGGGTCGTGTTCCTATATAAAGATCCGACTCAATCGGCCTAGAAATAATGCACGCGTAATGAAGTGGCAATACGCAAAGCGTGTGCCTCCGGAATCCGAACAATTCCCGGATGTCGGGGCTTAATAAACAATTGTTTTAACTCTTCTCCGACGACTTCACCGATTCAGCAGGCTGAGAATCTACGGATTCT